TATATGGCCCAGAAATGATCTGCTGTGTATCACATCTTTGGAAAGCTGAGTTCAGTTTCTGAACCTGATTACTTCCACACCTGTTCTTAATGATGAAATCACTTAAATAGGAGCTGCATGACAAAGTGGAGTAGGCCAAAAGATCTTCAAAAGACAGACATCAAGCTGTGATCCAAGGAAATTCAGGGACATATGAGAAACAAAGTAATTAGATCTGTCAGTGTTGAAAGCCATTTGTAAAGCTGTGGGACTCCAGCGAACCACAGTAAAAGCCATTATCCACAAATGGCAATAACACGGGACACTGGTGAACATTGATAGCAACAAATATTTCTGGCACAACTTCACCTGCTTCCCAGGAGCATTGAGAAGGACAAAGATCTGGTGGCGTTAAGTCTCCTGCGTCACTTATAGCACTATGGAACAACTTTATTAAGTGAACAACGTGTTTTGTCTTGTGGCCTTCATCAGGGTTGTTGCAAAATGTCCAACAGTTAATGTTTAAAGAAAAAAAATAAATAAATAAGGAAACAGAAAAAGAGAATTTCCAAGTGGACCAATTACAACTCAAGAAATAAACCAGCTGACCAATTGACATTAACGAGGTGGTATTGGTTCATTGGTTAAGCTACAGCCAAAATAGATTCTTTGATGTCTTAAAGACATGACTGTAGTTTGATCTATTGATTTGTGTCACTGGGCTTCATGGAGACAATATTAAGAAAGCAAAAAGAAATTTTAAGATTTTTAAAGAGAATCTGATAAACATAGATAAGTGTGTTGAACTTACTGTAAAATGTAGGTGTTATTTTGCTATGTAAGTCCAAAAATGCTTTTAAAAGATAATGAAGCAGTATTGCCAGTGGCTATAATTTCAAGATCTATTATGGAATAAAGTTACCACTTACCTTTGTGCTATATTTTCTGTTTATATCACTCACATTGACAGAGGATGGTGACCAATAGTCCAGACAGATGTGCTGCGTCTTTCTCTACTTAACCCCAGTTATCAGGCTAAAGGAGTCGAAACAGCATCTTGCATAGATTCCTTTTTGCTTCTGACAGATTTGCCTCTAAAAGGTCAGACAGACTATGTTTTCTTCTCTAAACAAACACTATGACTGTCACGCTTTACAAAAAGAGGCACTGAGGGCACAAATTAGTTGCTGTTGGAGAGGTACCTGTGTGGGTCAAGCTGTGTGCTCTTCATGTACTTTACAGTCAAAATGGCAGATTGTTGCACAGTAGTTTTTTCACTTGAGGTCAAAAAATGGCTCCTTGATTTCCCAGAAACTGCGGACTGAGATTCCTCTGTCATGTCTAAATGTTTGTGATCAGTAATCATATACTATTAGATATTATGATACCCCTAATCCAAAGTAAAAATAAGATTAGAAAAAGTGAAACATGTTTAAAACTAGACAAACACCATTAGGTCTGTGTATTATTAACTGTTTTCTATTAGAGAAAAAAATAATGACCAGATGCTCCCCAT